TCTCCCCCTTACATATAAGCAAAAATGTAAGGGGTTTAGGGATTGACACGTGTCGATTTTTTGCAGACCAAAATACCCTTGCAATTGACCACTTGTTACAATGTTACCCATGAGGTGTTCCTTCCCGATTAAGTCTCTACCAAATCCCCCATTTTCTGCTTTGACTGTCCAGTACAAAATCTATTCAGATCTCAAAAATCCTCTCCAAAAATCATCTATCTTCTCCAAAAATCCTCTCCTAAAAAAAATAAAAAAATTGGAAAGCCAAAGAACGCGGCGGGGACAAGGTTACGGATGAAGGTCGGCCAATGCAAGGACACCTGCGATGGCGAAAAGGCAGTGAGATCTGCGAGGCGAGCCAGAGATAGAGAGAGGGAGACCTGATGGGGCGGCGAGCCGGCGACATAGAGAGAAGGAGACCCGACGAGGCGGCAAAGACGGTCGAGTCCTCGACCTCTCACGGTATCATGTACTACTCAGTCATCGCCTCTATGGTTTGTTTTCTACAAACATCTTGAAGGTTGCGTTTTTGCCTTGTCACTAATCACTATGTTAATTTCCTATGGATTCTTGGATAGACCGCGACGACAATTTTTACAGCCAAGGCCACGGTATAAACACGACGGCGCGAAGCACAACCCTCTTCAACAACGGGCTGAGGGGCGGCAAGTCGTGCTTCCCCGGTTCGATTCTGGTGACTGGAACCAACTTCTGCCCTCCGAACAATGCCCTGCCCAACAACCCTGTGGGTGGTGAATCCACCCCTCCGCCGCTTTGACTTGTTTCAGCCTGTTTTCCATACACAAGGTAACAAAAAAAATGAAAAAGTTTCAACTTTTACGAATCCAGTTAGCCAAAAATAGATAAAAAAGATGGAATTTTTAGTTATTATAAAGCAAAAGGTCAGACACGCACTGACGGTGTGAATGTGGGAGAAATGTTATCAGTGGGTGCTCCGTGCCCTCCGCGCCGGTCAATCGGTGAGGGTTTTATTAATTTATTTATTCAGTTCAGAGCTGCTTCATTGTGTTTATGCTGTTGTTTTATGCAAAATTTAACGATTTCTTTTTGTTCTATTGCATTTAAGTGGTGGCCAACCTTCTAATTTCCTTGGGTTTGCAGTGAGTAGTTTAAGTACGCTGATGGAAATGATGTATTTATTTCCTTTGTAATGTTATGTTATCAGAGGTTGGGTGCGCCTGGGTATATAAATTTATAAAATCTTTTTCCTCTTTTGTTTATAGAGTGCAGTGATTGGTGATTTTACTTTTGCTTGATCTTAGCAACTGCAACTTTTAATTTTTCTTGTTGTCTTCTCTGAATAAGGTCCAAGAGAGAGGCTGGAAGCCAATTAAATGAAGCTGAGAATAAGTTTTGTGTTGATTGTGGATCACCAAATCCCAAGTGCGTGTAAATTGTAACGCATACCACTTTCTTCAATTTATACAGATTTGTTATAGCAGTGTATCGTCTCGATACCGACCATCTGAAATTTTAAATTTGATTTCCTGGGTTTTTCTCTAGCTGTTGTAATTTGTAGATGAATTGTTTACAGGTCCGTGATATTGGATCTTTTATTTCATTATTTGTATCAAATGCTCCGGTGATCTTATAATATTAGGCACTCTCAAAGTTATACCGTCAGCCAATAGTTGTGTACATTCCAGATCAGAGGTAATTTTTTCTTACACATAATAGCATCATTTTCAGACTGTATAACATTTATGTGATACCATAAATTTTTCTGTTGTGGGTCTTCAATCCTTACGCTTCTTTTGTATTTACTATTGATTCGTGTAGATGTTCGAGTTGTATATGATGTTTTAGTTAAAATTAGAATCGGAAATCTCATTTGTGGCGTTCTGGTTTTATCGGTAGAACCAACCGACGATTTAAGCATCGACTTCATTTTGTGTGCAAATGGGTCGGACAAATATGCTGTTTTTCGGGAAAATGTTTAAGGTTTGTAAGTTTTCCTTACCCTTTTTGCCTTTAGATTTCTCTGTTTCTTTTGGTTACATTTTTCATCGAACTATAAACCGATTTGACACAAAGCTATCTGTTGAAACTTTAACCATAACACACCTGGAATGAGGTGCAGTGCACTCATTTTCTTTGCATGCCCGTGCATGCAACTGCAGGAGGTACCATATCTTCTTGCACAAAGGACAACCACCTGAAGCACGACTCTTGCACCACGGTGGAAAATGAAGTTCCGTCCTCAGCAGCGGATGTGTTGGAGTTCCTGCTGAGAAAGGGCGTAGCCAGTAACTTGCACATGTGTGGTACAAAAACGAAAATGTTGGTTATCTGTTAATGTCGCTGAAAATATGTGCGGTACACCACGAAGCAGGTGGAGGCTCTGGAGAGGGCTTACGCCGAGTGCCCCAAGCACAGCTCTCTACGCCGCTAGCAGCTGATCCGTGAGTGCCTATCCTTTCCAACATCGAACCCAAGCAGATGAAGTTTGATTCAAAACCATAGGTATTTTTAACAAATAATTTTGTCTTTCACTTGGCTCTTTCAATATCATTTGCAGGGAAGGATAAACCAATTAGAGTTTATTCCCTAATTTTTCTTTTTGGGATGATTTCTTTTTTAGTTTTTTTCGGGCGTTATACCAAGTGTTTGTTAGATTTTTTAGTTTGGGGATGTAAATAGAATTTAAGCACTTTCGTTTTATTTTCTAATTAACTTGTTCGTATATTTCCATTGTGCAGTGAATAATGCTTGGATTTGATTATCATATCTTAATGATTTTCTTTTCTATGCAAAAACTTTGACTGGGTGAGTAATTCTTCGCTGAGATGGTCTGCTAAACATTATATTATCATCTATTCACCTAATCTCTATTTTCTGGTTATTAGTAACTTTATCCTCACTTACACAATGTTCTCTCTCTCTCTCTCTCTCTCTCTCTCACTGTGTTTTTAATTTACTTGCTATCTTCTTGTTTATATTTCATAGGTCTTCTTTGTTGATTATAATCTGAAGTTGCTCGAATATGCTTATTACATAACCAGAAGACTGGCCATCGGGCCGTCAGGGTATCTCCTATTCATTCTCTTCTTTTTGTGTAATTCATGATGGCCGTTAGACAGTCTAAAATACTATAGGAAAATTACAAGCAAAAAATTCAAGTAGTTGAGATTTGTACAAATGAAATAAAAAAAAAACAGAAATCGTTATTTTATTGCACTATCTCTTATAGATTGTTTTCCCTCTGTGTTGTTGACTATGTCTTTTGATTCTGTTATGTAATTATTTCAGTTGTTGGGATATATCTTGCTCGACCTTTCAAGAGAGGGGGTAGGGAGAGATCAGAAAGTAGTATGGTGGGCTTCAGAGACTTTGTGGCTAATGAGAAAACAAAGTTATCTGAGATCATCCATGGATGCTGCACAATCTTTTCTACTGAGATCTCAATAGCACAAAATTCCATTAGCACAAAAAAACATGGAATTTTGTCCAGTCCCACTGTGATCATCCAAGTTATCTGAAAACAAAGTTATCTGAGACTTTGCTATCTCAGTAACTTTTTAAGGAATTTTGCTTAATACAGACGAATTGTGCTTCGCGAAGGTTGGTTTTGATGGGAGATGATGAGTAATAGAGGATTGCTTAAGGTTGCTATGTGTTCCTTTGAACATGGATTTGCTGGGGACGTGATTCCATTATGTTAAATTATTTGAAACATTTGAAATAAATGTAGATGTGTATGTAAATAATGTGAAGATTTTTACTTCTATTTTGTAAGTTTAAACCCAAATTCCTTGGCTACACGTTGTAACAGTTAGGTGGGTTAATCCATCATTCTTTTTGTAACAAAAATAATGATGGATTATATTACAAAATATATTTTATATTTATTTATTTTCAGAATTTGAAATTTTAATTTAAAGATAGGTTGTGTCCTTTGTTATTTTGTTTGGCATTTTCTTTGATGTCATTTTCTGACTCCTGCAAAAGGTCTGGATAAAATCTACTGGAATGAAAAGTTTGTATTCCAGCCCAACATTTGAGTTGGACATTTTGAATCACCTCAAACCTAGAATTGTCAACAAGAAGTATTTGGGCGATATTGAATGTGTTGGGAAACACTATAAGAGTTGCAACAAACAATCTCACTTTTCGCATGCTTTTTTTGCGTTCGTTTATCATTTTCCTAAGCTTTATGACCTGACTATCATATTTGCTTTTTCTAGATTATTCATAAAAGAAATCATCGTGGAGGGAAATCGCTCGAGATTGATACAGTTGAATCCAACCTCATCTAACGTCGTGCTTCAAGACGACAATTATAAAGGGCAAATAACGATTGGATTCCAAATGTAAGTTTTATTTTCTTTTTTCCTTTGGCTAAAACTAGCATCTATCAGAAAAATGCTTTGGTGATCTTCTTAAGTCCATTTGTTCATTCTCATAGGCTTTTTGACATGCGAACAGAAAAGAGACTGAGTAGGAGGGAAATGATCTAGGCAAGTCCATGTGCACGATGCTCACGAGTCTCTACGAGTCTCTGGAAAATGCATTGGTTGAAGTTTTTTTCTAACATAGAGAAGATGAAGTTTGTTAATATGCATAAAGAGAACTGAGAAGGTAAACAAGGTTGAGTAATTCATAAAATCGGGTTATGTGAGTCGATTTCTTCATATAACTTCTTTTGTCGAGGGAGTGTTCGAGATTTCCGAGTTCTTTGCATGTTGTTTTTCTTTTTCTTTTGCAAAACAATTCAAAAAGTATATATGAGATTTTCACATTGCATGTTATTAATTAGTATTAGCACCTCATTCAAGGTGTATATGACAGTTGGAAGATGCTAATGTTGTTGAAGACGGTGAAAAGTTTAGGTCTGGAGCAGAAGTTGGTGCACGTTTTGTATAATTCAACCAACTTCTAGGATTGTATGTTGAACCCAAAATTTCTTTTGATGTTTTTGTCATTGTGGGGTATTTTGTCATGTGTTGGAACTACCTTTGGATGGATTCATACTAAGTAATTTCAAACTACTTTAAGTAATGCTAGCAAATATATGTGTGTGTATTCTTCGAGTTTGGCAGTATACATATATAATGTTGGACACATTTTAACCAACATTTTTATGGCCAACTGGAAAATTGTCACTAATTCATAATTATAGATTAATTTAAACTTCTTATGAATGCAACTTCTCGGTTTTGTGGTCAAACAAAAATTTCTTATTTACGCTTTTTATAATTGGTGGAAATCTTATTGTGTTGTCGGGCTTTTGAATTTACGATGGATCGATGTGAAGTTATATTTCAAGATAAATTTACAAATACTATCTACCATGTGTATGTGTCTTCTTCGATTATTCTGATATGTTGCAACTTCTGAAGCAGCGAAAGAGGCAGTATAGCTCAAAAACTTTTTGGTGAACTTAGAAGTGATTTTGAGTTTCATGTTGTCACAGACTCACAGTGTATTGTGATAACATTGGTTCAGTAGCAAACTCAAAGGAATCACGAGTCCACAAGGCCAGTAAATACATAGAGAACAAATATCATTTATTCCGAGAAATTGTAGGGAGAGTAGAAGTTGAGGTTGCCTAGATTGCATTGGAGGACAACCAATCCGATCCTTTAACTAAGAGTCTGCAGGGAGAAGTCTTTTCCAAACACGTGGAATGAATGAGAGTTAGGCATATGGTGTCAGGATCGACATAAGTCTTTCATAATGCATGATTGAGAGATGTGTACTAAGCATAAACTTTAAGTATAAGTGGAGATTGTTAGTATGTATACTGAAAAATTGTTTTTAGATAATATTAATATCAGTTATAATTATAGTCTGGACTATGGTCGGCTGTGCGTGCACAGCCGATGGCCAACTAGTATTATATAGAATCAAAGTTGAAATAAAATATATTAATAACACATCTATTGTTATAATTCGGTTCTTAATTTTGGTTATTCGGTTCGGTAAAGTACGGGACGGTTTGGTTCGGTTCTCGGTACGGATATTTGTGAAATCTCCAGAACCGTACCAATTATTTTTTCGGTTCGGTTCAGTTCGGAGAAAGTCAAACGATCAACGAATATTTTTCGGTTTGGAGTGATTTCGGTTTGGTTTTCGGAATGGTTCGGAATTCTCCGAGTTCCATGCTCAGCCCTATTTTTACAAACATACATGACGAAAATCAAAATCGCAATTCGAAGAGGACGAAAAAAATTATGTCAGTGAAATTACAATTTATTCAAATTACAATTTACTCAAATTTTAACCATCTCCAAACGGCAAACCCAATACACACTAATCTCATCTCTATTCTCACAATCACACAGGAAAATCCAAAACGGGCACTGCCAAAATCCTAATCAAAGATCTCAAGCCTCTACTCAAGCCTAATCAGTAATCTCTCCAGCCTCTACTCTCTTCCCAGAATCTCTATCCCTAAAGGCGGCGGCACAGCAGGCAGCCGGCTGGCGAAAGCTCGGCGAGCAAATGCGACGGACGACGGTGAACGAGGCATCTTCCATCCGGCGCCGGCGGCGAGGAAGCGGGAACTTTGAGACCGGCGCGCCGCGAGTGTGAGGAAGCGAAAACTTCGAGCGGTGAGAGGCAGGACTGCGGCAGGATTGGAATATGTTGATTTTGGGATAGAGTTTGAACTCGGATTTCTAACTTTGATTTCGTGAATTATAATGTGGTTACTTGGGATGGGTTAGTCTCCACCCGAGAAGAAAATGCTTATGTTGGATCTTTTTTGTTCCGTTGGTTGCTTTTAATTCATTTATTAGAAAAGCCTTTCTTCTTCTAAGGTGGCTGCAACATTTCTTGAGCTGAAGGTGTTCGATAAAATGTCCAACGGAGAATACACTGCATAGCATACCTTTTTCTTTTTCCCCCTTGTAATTAGTTCTACAATGCCTTGGATAGCATTATTCTTATCAGTGCTGGTGATCTGGTTTGCTTCTCTCTGTAAAATCCTCCATGGATCTTCATCCGCCATGAAAGCGACTTTCTTAAGTGAAGGTAAGTTAGCAGCCAGTTTTGATAAGCTGCAGAATATAGAATTACGCTTCATGATGATTGTTACAATTGTTTCTTTCGTGTATGACTTTCTCGTTTGATAATGATGATTTTGTAAATATCTTCTTGATTCTCATGGATGATGCCAGCAGGGAGTTGTCGAAGGAGAAATGTGTTGTTGGTTATTGCCCATCCAGATGATGAGTCCATGTAAGGTTGAAAATTCCGGCATTCTAGAACATGATGATTTTTGTGTTCTCGATAGTTTTGTTCCGGATTAAAGTGCGTTGATGGTCGTGAACTTTTTTTTTCTCAGTTTTGGTTCAGCTTTCTAAGATTAACTATCGAATGTCTTTAAGTTATTTGTTCCTGAATGATGTATATGTGCTGCAAGAATGATGAGTATTTTGGCTGGTGCTTATGCCTTGGTCGATAATGAAAAAAAGTTATGAATAATGCATGTTTAGGAATTAGGAGTACACCTCTGGTTGTCCAATTTTGGATAGGGTCTATAGATGAATTCTAATCGCATGTTTTCTTTCTTGTCAAAACATATTGACAATATCAAGGTTGAAAATAAATATGTTTTGCTTTGTGTCTGCAGGTTCTTTGCTCCTGTTATTAACTACCTGATTCAAAGAGGGCATAATCTGCACATTTTGTGCATATCAACAGGTAATGCTGTTCATGTAACATGCTCTTTCTTCTCCTCTATAGTCAATGACAGAATTTCTAGGTATTTGCCACTAGATTACCTTAATATTTACGAAGCGTATGCGTGTTTGTATGTTCGTGTTCCTATTATATTGACAATGTAGGATGATCATTTGTAGAACCTCTTTTGCCTTGATTGTGCGACTTGTTAACTTAACTTACTCAAAGGTTGATTACTCAAAAGGTTCCTTTCGAGGTCAAAAGATTCGAAAATTTTGTCAAAAGTGTGTCTTGAAGGTATCACAGAGTTCAATCTGGAATAATATGTTGAGTTCATATATTTCAAAACATGAACTTATGTGTGGTTTTAGTTATTAAAAGAATAAGGATTAGATTATACAAAGATCTGCTTTCGGTTTCAGAATTTTTTATCTGCTAACCCGTGAGTCATGACACAAGTTATGTACACCATTTTTTCCCGGGGAAATTTAACTTTCTACATAAATGAGGAACTTGATTTATCTTCCAAAGTAATTAGAATTAAGTCACACTATCAGAGATAAGATTCTTGTGTTTCTGTTGCAGGCAATGCAGATGGCATGGGTAGTATTAGAAAAGAAGAGCTTTACCTTGCTTCTGCTGTTCTCAAGGTCATCCTTTTTTATATTATTAATTCTCTCTCTATGAAAATTATTGGTGATACTTTTTTTGCCTCGCACATGATTGTTGATTATGATTCATTTACTTTGGGTTCAACTAATGTCAGATTCCAGCACAACAAGTAAACATTCTGGACCATCCAGATTTGCAGGTTCTTCTCATGAGCTGTTTCTTAATTGAGAACATGTTTCTTGCACGATGTACATGTGGAGGTTGCTAATATGACTTGAATGGTTATTGATTAGGATGGCTTTGGCAAAGCGTGGGATTGGGATTTACTAGCCAGCATGATTGATAATGAAGCACGTACCTATTCCATTGACTTGGTAAAATTACTCCTATAACTTCTCGTATATGGGACTCGTGTTGAGAATTGAAATATTTGGGTTTTTTTAATCCTTCTGCAACCACCAATCAGCTAGTATATTATTCAGCAATAGTGGTTCAATCTTGGTCCATCACAGCTTTTTACATTTTTTTTTTCTAGATCATTACTTTTGATGATTATGGTATCTCGGGACATTGCAACCACCGTGACGTACATCATGGAGTAAGGTAAGTTTCTATTCATCTCATGCATTGCTACATGTTATAGGGAAAACCTGAGAAAACTTGAACATCTTCCTAGGATGTGACTTGATCCTCAATAAGATAATACATTTATTTGTTTTTGGTCTTAGGTTAGTTACAGAACTACCATGAGATTTAACCTTACAGTTCTAAAAAGTTCTAAAAAAATGTTTCTCTTTCAAAATTACAAGTTCTGTGTTTTCACATTCTTATATCTTTTACGAACTTAAAGCATGAGGATTGGGTACTCATTAGGTAAATAAGAAAAGTCAGGAAAAGATTTACTTATTTACTTATAAAGAAGTGCTCGTGCTTTCGAAAAATATTTGGAGCTTTCTGTGAGTAGGCTAATCCTCACCCATAGTGTGTGTAGTTAGTGTAAGGGGAATATTGAGGTGCCTGTTCTGCAGGTTCTATTCAAGCATATAATATTTATTTTTATTTTTTAAATTAATTTATTGAATTAAATATTTATTTTTCTAACCACATGATGCACATTAAACAAGGTACATGATATGATGATATTGATTTGGTTATGTTATTTGCATATATGCAATTCAGAAAGGTACTGGGTTCTAGTTCAGGCAGAAATCTTGAAGCATGGGAGCTTGTAAGTTACCCTTCTATCGCTTTACCTTTTATATTGATCGACTTTTTGCCTAGTCAACCTCTGTAGATCAATAGGTTGCAAACTGAAACTGGTGAACTTATTTTCATGTTTCTCTAGCCTCTTTAGGGCAGAAGGTGTGCAATTGGAAGTCAACTAAAAGTAAATAAATAAATAAATCCATCCGCCAAAACATACGCTATTCATCTTTCTCACTTTTTTATTTTTCTTTTTCTCTCATCGCTTTCCCAATACAATTTTTAAATTGAAAATAAATCATTGTTACCCATTTATCTACAAAATTTACTATTCACCCACTCACATTTTTGTAACTACCAATCCTTATTTTACTATTTCCCTATCACATCACAATTACACAGTACTTTATATTCCATTACTTTACATGATAAAACTTCCATGTTTCATTAGCTAAGATTCGTACATTTTTATGGTGATTTATTCCCACTTTCAGGTAAGCACCAACATAATACGCAAATACATTGGACCAGTTGATATTTGGCTATCCATCTTATTTTCCAGATGCCAAGTAAACGGACAATCACATTGCTTGGTGAACTCAGATCCCCGAAAAAGTTATGCTGCAATGGCTCAGCATTCTAGCCAATGGGTTTGGTCTGTCTGCGTAGTTCTTTTAACATTAACTCGCTCTTTTTTCCCCATGATACATTAGTTTTCACTCACACTGGTGGTTTCCACATTGCAGGTTCCGAAAACTTTTTGTGGCATTTTCGAGTTATACCTTCGTCAACACTCTTAAGAAAATTTAGTGCACTGCTTTTCAGGTACCAGCTTCCAATATAACATTTACTTGTTATTTTGGTACTTGGAAGCCATGTAAAATATATAGTTACAAAGTAACAAAAAAAAGAAAAAAAAAAAAAATGAATTTGTTGACAGGGATTGACGTTTTCAGTACAGGACGAGTGCCAGTGTCCTTTTGTCGCAACTCGAGTGTTGGTGCTGCCGTGCTGCTTGGGCTCTTTGAAAAAGGAGAGCTTGTTTGTTTACGCAGTTCAAATGTGATGCAATGATGAATTTTTAGTTAACATATAATGTTCTTACGTATTTACGGGAGTATTTGTGCACTTATTGTAATTTTTAGTTCCATTTTTTCATTATCCCACAACTTGATTTTTGAAATTGAATCCGACTTCTGGTTATGGATGTAGCGCTGGTGTTAGGCGCCCCGACTAGACTCAGGGCAATCTACCCTTTAGAGATACTTTAATTCAAACTAAGATGACCATGATTTTCTTGATGAATTGCTGCAAATCTATACTTGAATAAATCCCAAGATACTTTAATGTATGAGCAGCAGCCATTAGAAATAAATCCCAAGATTAATGAGGTAGAATATGGAAGAGTTCTGCTGTTTATCATTATATTAACACAATCACATGTCAATGAAATTATTTAATTTTTAGAATATAACTAATTTTTACTAAAAATTAAATGAAAAACTCTAATAACTATAAATCCTACAAGACTATTCTGCATGAACAGAACAACTCAATATCTCACAATCATGCCTATGAGCCAATACCAATCTTTCACTAATTCATAAGCTTGTAAACTACAAAAAAATGCTTTGCAAAAATGTTACAACATCAAATTTGTACATTCCCATACATATTTCAACGAATATTTCTGAAAACTCACAAAATTCCCTCCAGAAATAGACATTTCCTTCTAATCCCCTCAAATTGGACTAGTTTCATAATCCTAAACTCATGCATATCAAGACTTAGAACAACACAATCTTCTCCACCGGTCGAGTAAATTGTCATCGGCAAATGCACCACTCGACCTTCGCCCGTATATCCCAATAATCCTCAACAAGCAGCAGTAAAAGATTCTCACCTTATATTAGTTCACTAATCATAATCCACATCAGTACTATCCTGAGACGTCGCCCGCCTGATCAGACGCCCTCCCTCATCATACACATCAAGATTCTCACACGGGGCTGGAAAAATCCTCCCCACCACACGCCCCTGCACGTGAGAACACTGGAATATCCGCTTCTTCTTGTAAGTTATCCCGACTAACATGTTCCGGAAGGTGACGTTCGTCACGGGGATCTCCCGGCTGCCATATATGCGGACTGGGATCCGAACCCCCTGTCCACGAACCCCATCGAAATTTATGTTCTCGATAATAGGAAGGGCATTTGGGTCATATCCCTCATCCGGGTGCTCATTGTAGTCTGTCTTTATAACTATACCCACGCGCACGTTTTGTAGTGTCAGGTTACGGTAGGTTATTTGTGCCACATGGCCACCTCTGCCAGGGCTCGTTTTGATTCTGATGCCCCTTTTGGAGTTCCACACGAGCAGATTCTCGACTGTGACGTTCGAGACGCCACCCGACATTTCACTGCCGATTGATACGCCTGCACTGTGATTAATAGATGCTGAGGTGTCAATGGAAATAACACATTAAGAAGCGCGTTTAATTTTGGAGAATTGTTAATTAATCAAAAATAAAAATGACACCTTATCATAGAACGCACAATGACATTGCGTATTAGAATGTTGGTGGACGGGCGTGCATAAGCAATTCCATACTGATCCCACCCACTTTTGATTGCAATACCATCGTCCCCAACACTTATGTAACAATCTTCTATCAACATATTTTCGCATGAATCTGGAAAACTCCACACAAGGCAATGTTGTTAGTCCATCGACCCTCGGGGTATTACAAGGGAGTTTGAATGTTGACCACATGAGCAAGATTTTATCCTAAGGAAAGAAATTAATAATTCTCTTTTACCAAACATGATGCAGATAGATACACATATTTTACCTTCAAATCTATATAATAATCAGGGGGAGAAAAAAAGAGGCAATGGTTTAAATTTTAATTGGTAAAGTCCGAGATGTCAATGATTTAAACGTACCAGGATCGATTCCATCGGTGTTTGGGGCACCAGACAGCGGAGCCAATATGGTCACATTTCTGATAGTGACATTCTGGCAGTCGTAAGGATGAAGGGTCCAGAAAGGGGAATCACGAAATGATATATGAGATATATGAATGTCTCTAGACCACATGAGCTGCACGAGTGGACCCCTTGTGTGGTTCAGAAGATTATTCTTGTGCTTGGTCCACCATGCCTGACCTTGTCCGTTGATCGTGCCGTTATGTCCTGTTCAGTGGTCAAAACAAATCACGAGTAACACCATCAAGCATTAGCCCGTGCCTCATAATAAAGGTATTAAAAAAAGAAAAACTAACGATGAATCCATGGACAATCTTTTACCGGTTATAACAACATCTCTGAGGTTTTGGCCATGGATCAAGCTTCCATAACGTGGTCCCGGCCGTTCTCTTCCATAACCATATGATGGTAAAGGAGGCATCAATGGCCAATAGCTCTCGTCCTGCCTCATCCAATAAAAAAATGGTTGTTACAAGTTAAAACCAACTGTTTCTTCTTGTTGTTTTTCTCCAACTTTACTTTTAGTTCAATTTCATAAGCCATGGTGCACCTAACCAGTATAGGCTTAGGCAAGATTCTTGAGATCATGAAGCTTAATAAAGGGCATAACAAATTTTGAACCCAATGAAGAAAGTAAGATTTGTCATTTAATTATCTTGGGATGAATCCCATTCTCTTAGATTCCTACACAGGTGACAACTTATACAGTGAACTGAAATGAAAGCCAAAATGGTAGGATTGCTAACCTGACCATTCATTCCAAGACAAGGAAAACCAAAAACTGTGTGGAATAAAGTTGATTTCGTTAAAGATTCAGTCAGCACGTTTGCAAAATTCCGTTAATGAGTACTTGAGTAATTCACTGATTTTCAACATCACCAACTATTTTTGCATGTGTACAACTTCAATAACGCAGCATAAACCGAGTATTTCAAGTACAATCACAACACAGCTTAGTTCATTAAAAGAAAATAACAAATAGCCGTCTCTTGAAAACAATTTCCGAAATCTCTCCACCCATACAAAATGAGCAATTGAGATCAACCCACCTACAGGAACAATATAATATGAAACTAAACTGAGTCACCGGATCCAAGCAAATTAAGCATAAAATTAATTGTTGTTCTAATATTACTAAAACTAACTCTTACTCATCAAGCACACACAAGTCATTAAAATAAAAGTACATCTTGCTCCACCGTGGGTTCAGAAAATCCAAGAATGAAGTATATGGAGGAGGACGAGGAAGGCACAAAGTATGTCCCGATTCTCATGTTAGCAACAAATACTTGAAGCATCTAGCACACCTGGGCTTTACCAATCGCCATAAATACCAACATGTTATTGCTAAAGCTTCAGTATGTGACTGAAGCTGGAAACATTAACACAGTTCTCGTAGAATTTCATTTTCAATTTAAACTAACGGCAAAATTGTTCCAAGAAATTTTTTATGTTGTGACAGTTGAAGTGAGTAACGAGCATCTCGATTCAACTTTCTTCCAGTTTCATACACCAGTGTATATATCTGGGATACAACCCCCATTAACCTGACCCCAGACAAGAATTGGAGGATAAGAAAGCTAGTTGTCTCAACAAAAAGGCAGCACGGACAGCCCATTCAAGAAAATTGCATTCTGGATGAATTTTCAAGAACACCGAGTGCTCCGATATAATGCGCCTAAAAAATTAGTTTCGCAGCGATTTGCATTGCTCCAGTGTAGGGCAATAAGATTAAGTCGGGTTCACAAACTTGAACTACAAACTCTAACTGATGTTCAATTCTTGACACTCTTGGCATGTTAGGAACCTGGAAAGAGATCCACAATTTCACATTCCCCGAAAGTGCCATCTGATCCAAAAATGTCAAATTTCTTGTCCAAATTGTCCAACTTTTCTCCACAGTAAGAAGAAAATACCAAGTTGTAAAGTAAGCGCATACTAAATAATTCCAACATAATAAAATCTGCATCTCAACATCAAAATCAACGTAAAACTAGAAAACCCGAATCTTTAAAGAGAAAAAAAAAAGATATCAGAGAGAGAGAGAGAGAGAGAGAGAGAGAGAGAGAGAGAGAGAGAGAGAACTCACATCAATTCCAAGAATGACAGCGTTTTGGGCGAGAAACAAAGTCATATGGCTGGTGAGGTTAAACGGCGCAGTCAGCCAGCGGCCGGGCTCCACATTCAGCTGCCCGCCGCCCCGCCGCCGAATTTCCGAAACCGCCCTCTCGAAAGCTTGCGTATTAACAGTGACACCGTCCCCCACCGCCCCGTAATCGGTGAGGTTAAAGACGACGGATCGGAGCCTGGGGATGGGCAGTGCCGGCGAGCCCAACAGCCTGTCGACGGCCACCCTCTGCCAGGAGACGATCAGAACGAATCCGACGGCCCAGATGAGCGCAAGGAGAGTGCGGTGAGACGATAAGAGTGGGTGGATCGATTCGATCAGGCGCCTGGTAGGCTCGGGTCTGAAGCTACTGCTCCGTGGTATGGTTCGAGAGGGATCCCCCATTGGAGATAGCCAGACAGAGCTGCAAATGACTGATGAATGTGTGAAGAATTAGAAGTGAAATTCTTGGTAGGAAACGAGGAGATCAAATGGGAACAAATTATTAATTGTTGGCAACAAATTTTTAATATTAATCAAGTAATTATATTATTATTTATTAATTTCATTATAAAATAATTACTACTAACTAAAAAAGTTGCATGATATTCAATTTTAAAATTTCTTTTCTAAAATTATTTATTTAAAAAAAATCAGCATATTAATCAAGTTTTTTTTTTAAAAAAAATTAATTAATTACCTTTTATGACACAAACAAACCCCTTATAATTCAGTACATTATTGATATAATAATAATTTCAGTATTATATTATTTAATTACTTTTTTATGCAATCAATATATACATAATTGATATAATAATAATTTCAGTATTATATTATTTATTTACTTTTTTATGCAATCAATATAAAAATTAATGTGTAAGTTAAGTAGTTTATATTTATATCGTTTATTTTTACTCGTAAAAGTTATAAAATAGGCTATGCTCATTATCTAACTCATGATTTTAAATCCCCCTTATATGTAATTCCCGAATGCGCTGAGCCTACGTGGCTGCTTCTAGTGCTTCGGAATCCTACTTGGCAAAGAATCATGCTTCGTAATTAGGTTTGGACAAATAATAATGATATATTAATAATTGATAATCTAGGTTAGGACATTCCATAAATATTATTTAGCTAACTTAGGTACTTTAACATCACTTGTACTAATATAACCCTTTAATTCCTTGTAATTTTACATAGTGAGCCACTAAGTGACTAATATATCCCTGATTTTTTATTTATTTCTTTCAATTAGCTACTGAATTGTAAATGCATTTTAAAAGTTGATAACTTTTGTATTTCCTATCGGTTTTACATAAATATATCAAATTAATCACCTTTTGATGATGTTCGATTTGACATCCATATTGAATATATGAAATAAATAAATTATATTTATCTTTATAATAATAAAAAAATAATAATATTTATTAAAATTCAGTAGAAAAATAAAATTATTTCTCAATTGATGTTTAATGTAGTTATATGTTGTAAGTTATAAAAATTTTACAATATAACACAGGTAAGTCGCACAAATAATAAGTTTCATACTTAATATATAATAATATATATATTTCTATAAAAAGGTTTTAAATTTTCAACTATTTTTTCTCATTAATTTTAGATTTTAAAGAAAAAATTAGCAAGCACCCGTGTAATACACGGGCGTTGTACTAGTATTATATATACCCATATAATGTATAAAATTTTATCTATATACGTGCATGTTCACATGATCGCAAACTAGTTCTTTTAGAAATATGCATATTTCATAAATATCGTATTTTTAATGACAATGAAAATATAAATATGATATTTGATAATATAAGTATGTATTTTCGTTCAAATAATATAAAGAATCGAAATGCCTAACATTTACACTGGCTCATAAAAAACTTTGTTATCATAGTTAGGGATGAGGCTATGTTTTAATACTGGGATAAAAAAAATGAACGAGCAATCAATCTAGGAAAACGTATTTTGTGCTAACTTTAATGTTTTTGTTTATAACTATCGAATTATATGTTATTGCATTGAGAGCTCAAACTTAAATCAGAACTTGATGCAGTCGAAAGCGTACGAAAGACACGAGAGTATAGAATACTCGATAATAATGTAATTTTATTCAATCATTCACCAACTTCTTCATCATATGATTACATAATTTATAAGAATTCTTGTGACTTTTTGAATGCCTCCTAATAATATTTTTAGTTTTTAGATAATGTTGAATGTCTCTTTGATTTTAGTACTTTGACTACTACTAACTTCCATACTAACTTTAAAATAACATAATAATATGAAGAGTCACATAAGCATGTAACTCATGCACGACGTCTACGACGCTCGTATTTTTCCATAAACGCCAAAGCTAGCTCGTCTCCATCATCCTTCCCCGGTTGGAAATGATTCGCCCTCGAATCCAAAATAAACTCGTCTCTTTCCGTGTTCTCACCCAAATATGGCACCAAATGTGCCGACACCAGATTAGTACCAAGGCAGGAATCTCCAATCGTTTTCCCCTATCGTGCACGAAGGTTGAATGCCGCGCAACCAGTTCAACACTCCCCTCCAAAACTGCCGAACAATTAGCCGCCCAGAATGAAACAACTAGTGCACCGACAAACTCTATGACATAAACGTGTTCTGGGAAAACTTTGACCTCTCTATATTCATATAGTTCAATTAGCTTTTGCATGTCCACTACAAGGGCATCGGTAGCAGCAGGGTCATAGAAGGCCTTGCCTGGGGAATCCAATCCAGAGACACCCATTTGGTTAGTGTGTTCAAAAGATTTAATATCATGAAATTGCAAGAGGATGGTATCATCCGGTCCAAAGTTCACCACGTCAAATGCTCCAATCCTATGAATGAAAGGTATCTTCTCCATGGCCTCGCAAAGATGTTTCTCCGTCAGTGGAGGCTCTTCATCAAAGATCGGTGTTCCATCGTAGAAATCACCCGCGTCGGGGTCGAAATCCAA